TCTCCCCTTCTCCCTGCAACAATTCAGTACCAGATGGGGGAAGGGAGGGGTGCTAATCCCCTTGGAAGAACAATGCTGTGTGAAGTTGTAGCTTTCTGGTGAAGCTTCCCAGGTGACCATGCTTATGCCTGGCCTCCCCTTTGCACTCTTCCTATTGTTAATATTAGCCAGCTAATTACGACAATAACAATAGCATTTGTGACTTTTAGGAGATCCAGTTGAACTGAGTTTCTCAGATTCCGATTTGATTCAGTTCTTTCCTTTTTCATATGCCCAGTCAAGCTCTCTTGATCACAGGTGACCTTTGGTCCTGGAGAGCTAATCAACTAGTTGTTCACATACTTTGGCTTCCTCCTGCCCTGCTGGAGGGAAGTTGCAGTCTCACCATGACTTTGCTCTTTAACAATGCTTGTTTGATGAGCTACTTGTTGAATACATTTTCTGTTTGTGTTTGGCATGAAAGGTTTCCTGGGCGTTGCTAAATTGAGGTCTTGGGAGGGCATCTAAGATAGGCCCCACCCTGAGGCCTGGGGCATCTAAAGCAAAACAACATTTCATTAAAAAAAGTTTTAACAGGCTATTCCTGGATTAAAATTTGTAAGCTTTTGATTTAAAACTGGCTGACATAACTTGCCTTAATACAGTTTAGTATCAGTGTTATCTTTGCCTAATATGAAGGTAATCAGCTTTTGGCTATACACTTTAAATGATTTGTGACTTAGTGTGGCCTGAATCTGTATGGTGGGTCACCCTTAAAACACTTGAGCAGTCCAATCTCTGCATAGCTGGTCCCTTTTCATGGGATTATGCTTTCTTGCCCCTTCCTGCCTGGCCACCCGGTCCTGATGGTACAGGACTACCATCAGTTGTCCAATGGGCCATGATAGAACATGTACCTGCCCCCTTGCTGGGACCCACTGAGGAGCCTCCAATTAACTATAAGTGAGGCACCCACTTCTTCATCTCAAAGTGCAATGGAGCCCTTCATGTCACTGTTATCACTTCGTGGTAATTTGTGTTTTACACTCACACATTCCCATTTTCCTCAGGTACATTACAGAAGTGAGAAAGTGCTGCAACTATGTCCTCAGAGAAAAACAGGCAAAGATAAGCCAACCATTGCAGATGCTATATGTGACCCTGATAATGAAACAATAAATGATAAAGGACCCAGTAGCAGGCTTAGAAGGGCAGCAGGTACAGGTGGCATTTCCCACAAAGTGTGGTCTTTGGGATGAAACAAGGTGACCTAATACCTGGTGTTGAGCTGTGTTTCCCAAACCACCTGTGGGGAAGCCTCTTCTTCCCCTCCCCGAATACATCACGGACTGATCCTTTAGTAAAATATAAATGAATATAAAAACTATACAACTCTCTCAGGAGTGGTACTTATCTCATCATGGACGAGTAACTGACAGAGGATTGACGTGGGAACATGGACACTTGAGCGGCCCCGCTACACTGGTAGAACAGTAGTTCCACACAGGCTTCACACTAGAATCACCTGGGAAGATATCACAAGATTATTTTTAACTGAAGGTGGGTGGCAGTTGTCCTGAATCATGTTTTTTAAAAGCTTCCCGGTCTTCCTAATGTGCAACCAAAGTTGAGAAGCATCACTCAGAAATAAAATGCCGCACTTTTATTTCAGCTTTGTTCCTGCCAAGCACTGGCGAACAGCCAGGTTTGCCACATGGAAAATGACCCTGACGGTTCAGAAAGCTGGGACATTTGAGCCCAGTCTTGCCAAAATAAAATAAATGCCCAGCTCTTAGTTTTTAGTATCATTCATTAGGAAAAGTCTTTAAGAATTTAAATAATTCCTTTAAGAAATCATGGTATCCTTTGCTTTTGTCATATCAACACTAGCTGACATCTGATCTAAACTTGTTTCCGCTGTAAATTTACCAGGGGGAGCTTTCCTTTGCAATATGGTGCGCATGGACCTGTGCTTAAAATCACACTCTATCTTCACTACCTGTGGGACCAAGGACAAGTTGTCTAAGTCTCTGAGCCCTAGTTTCTTAAATGCTTCCTTAAAGGGTCACTGTATGTTTTCAATGAAAAAAAAGTAAATTGATCATATATTTGTGACTGGCAGGTGGTAGAGTGACTCAAATATTCACTCCTGCCCCCATTTCCAGGGCGGACATCTCCCTAATATGATTGTGGGTCCATTTCATTAACTGGTACCCATGCCTTTCAGGCTGATAAATATTTTGCATATTACATCTGTCCATCATGTTCCTTGTGCAGAATCTGTTCAAAGTTATAGTGCCAGGCATTACAAATTAATACATTATGAATTATAAATTAATAAATTGGTATCTAGTTTATTATATTTTCATGAGTGTGATTCACGTGACTCAGCCTTCAGGATCTATGAAAACTTGGGCATACTCATAAAATTAAGTTCTTGAACTTTCAAAGCAGAGACATTTCTAGACCCAAGACAACCTCATCATATTTCAGAATCCCATGTAGCTGGGACTCCGCATTCTCCTGGATCTGCTCCCTACCCACCTGAAGGTAATGTAACACACCAGGAGCGCTGGTGGGGCAGCACCCACAGAAACAGCTGACTCACTGTGACAGCAGCGTTCCCATTGCGCCCGGAGACGCTTTCACGGCTCAGGAAGGTGGAAGAAACGGCTGGGAAGTTAGAGTGTTGTGGTTCTTATACAGTGAAGTTTGTTTCTTTCTCATCTTCCCCTCTTTCACTTTCCTCACCTCTCCTTGCAAACATACCTACGTTTCAAGGTTAACGCTACATGATTGTTTTAGAAGACAGACCCAAGGACTCTGCACTTTACCTGCTGAGATATGTGGGCCCAGCTTGGCTTCCCATTTTAGAGCAGACACAGCAGTGCATGGAGCAAAGGAAGGAATTCACAGTGCCCTCCCCGGGCTTAAGCCCAGGCATGTGCTGTCTTTGCTGGCGCCCACATTTCCCATGATCAGGTCTCATGTTCCCGTCTGAGATGATACTAAGGCTGCTCTCACCTCCCCAGTAAGGCAGGAGTTTGCCCTGTACTCTTACCTGCGGGTGGCTCTGCCCTTTTAGTGATAAGCAGCTCAAACACTTTGTAAGTTAACCCATTTAACACTGGAAAATTCTTCTTTAGACTGAGACCAAATAGTCTTAAGAGTTCACTCATGTTTCTACTTCTGTGGAAAACACAGGGCAGTTCTTCCCCCTCCCACAGGGGCCCTTCTTCCCAGAGGCTTATACAGAACAGGTGGTGGCCAGGCTCTGGGAGCTGGGATGGTGTGGGGGCGGTGGGCCCCTCACAGGCCTGCCCTGAGCCCCGCTCTGCAGCCCCGGGACCTCTGCGGGTTCCCAGTTCCCGCTGGCTCCGCAGGGGACCCTGCGGGGTACTCGTCTGCAGCCACTTCCGGAGCTGGCGTTCTGGAGTCCTGCTCCATGTTTACGGAGAAGCCTGCGGGAGCCCTGGAAATGGATGCCAACAGAGGACACATCGCTGAACTAGCTGCGCACGCAGTGCCCTCCGCAGCCTGCCTGCCTCCCAGGCCTCTGCCTCCAGCTCTTCCCAGGCTGCCCTCCCGCTGCTGGGATGTCTGTGGCTGAGCTTCTCTGCCAGGACCAGCCCCTGCCCCTCCCTGTGGTGAAGAGTGGCCGGGCCCTGGTGTCCTGACCCATTTTCCTCTCCTCTCAGCCAGATTCCTGGCACACGGATTCCTCCGTGGGCTTCTTTTTAAGGGAGGTCATGAGGGGAACTGACAACTGGGGTTCATTTGCCCAGGATTCCTGGTCTCCTTGATGGGAGCTCCCCAGCCGCACTCAGTGGGAGAGCTGAGCGGATGGGAGTTCAGGGGAGCAGAGGCGGAGCCCCCCCTTATGAAATCTGTGCATCTTTCCGGGCAGGTGTCGCAGAAGAGCATTTTCTGAGCCTGCCCAGCACCATCCCACACAGCAGTTCTGCGAGCTGGCACAGCGTCCTGAAAGGATTAGCCAAATCCTCTCCTGTGAGGGCAGAGCTGCGGGAACCCCACCCGCCCCTCTTTCCAGCCAGGCCCCTCACAGGGCTTGGCAGAGTCAAGGGTCAAAGGCGGGCCCCAGCCTGCCACCGCCTGAGCTGCCTGTTGGAGAGGAAACCTGAGGAACAAAGGCCAGGATGAAACCTCACCCTGAATGCTTGGCGTTGGCTGAGCAAATGTTGTTCGAGCTCATGGTGATTCCGGGTGACTAGCAGTTGCGTGCTGCTCAGTGTTATAGTTGCTTAGCTGTTTCTGCTATTAAGAATGATTCAGCAATAAACTCGGGTCCTTTCCCTGTGCACACCAAGGCCCTTTTCTTACTGGCTGGGTCTCAGCGTTATCCTTATTGTCATTTTCTGAGTGTTTGACCGCGTGATGAGCACTTCCACACACACGGCCTCGCTTAGGCTCCACAAGCCTCGGAGCAGGTGTGATTTCCTGGCCCGGAAGCTCAGAGCATTGAGTGTGTTGCCACGGCACTTAGCAGTCGCACTGGAGCAGATATTTCACCCAGTTCTCCTGGCTGCAGTGACCTGTCCTCCCTGCTGTCCTCTGGGCCTGGGGTGAGCAGAGTCCTGGTCGGGGTCCATGAGAGAAGCTGTCACTGAGGGTGAAGGGTCAGGGCTGTGAGAGGAGGGCTGCCGCTCCGAAGCGGACAGGACCCCGTGGAGCACACACACTCAGGGACGCGAGGTGGTGCCGAGTGTGCACAGGGTGACAGTCCCCATTGCCTGGGACTCTCCTGGGTTTAGCACCGACTTCCTGCGTCCTGGGACCCCCTTGGTCCTGGGCAAACACACGTGTGGATCATACTGTCCCCCTTGGCTCCACCTGAATTTCTGGAGGCACCTGCAGGGCAGGAGTCTTAGCCCCAAGCGTTTAGGGGAGGTTCTGGGACTGCACAGTTGATTTCTGCAAAACAGTTTATTTTTGAGCCTGGACTCCAGGTCATTTTGTCTAAAGTGGTTGCATTTTAAATATTTAAAAATCTAAACCTTTGTGGGTCATTTCAAAGATAGTTTATGGGACTGAAACCAGGAGCTCTTAATGCTGTGACCTAAAATTGAAGTTCTCCTTAGGATGTGATAGACACTCAATAGTGCTATTTTGTCCTGAGGAGATATAGGATGAAAAAAAAAAATCTGAACCTTTGGTTGCCAATGGGAACCTAGTTAATAATAATCCTGGTTGCCTCTTTTTATGATCCAGGGAGTATAGGAAGTGCTTTACCATCCTCACCACTGACCCCAGGACTGGCGTGTAACGCATTGATTATTATTTCCATTTAACCAGTGTGGTAGCCGAGGTTGTGCATATTCCCGCCAGGCCCCAGGTCCTGAGGCAGGTGTGTCTGCCACCGGAGCCCTCACTCCCGCAGCTCATTCTCAAAGCCCCTCCTGTGCGTTCTGTCCTGGGCACATTAGAGTTCATGGGTATTTGGAGATTCGCACGTATCTTTGGAGGCTCCTGAAGCGGCACCACACTCACAGCATTAACTAGTAGGAGATTTAGGAACCTGAGAGATTGGGCCCCAGAATTTCATAGAAACACTGTGGAAAGGTTTGCAAGAGACATTCAGCTGGCAACTCCTCCAAACCTAAGATTAGGACTGGTGTGCTGTGTGATCCAGCATGACTGTGAACTTTTTTAATAGGTTACCTTCCACGTTGCAGCTTTTTTTTTTATAATATATTTTTTATTGATTTTTTACAGAGAGGAAGGGAAAGAGATAGAGAGTTAGAAACATCGATGAGAGAGAAACATCGATCAGCTGCCTCCTGCACATCTCCTACTGGGGATGTGCCCGCAACCCAGTACATGCCCTTGACCGGAATCGAACCTGGGACCTTTCAGTCCGCAGGCCGACGCTCTATCCACTGAGCCAAACCGGTTTCGGCAACGTTGCAGCTTTTGACATTTTATCATCCAATCAGTTCTCCTGGAGAAGGGAGTAGGACCATAAAGCTGACACAGATGTTAAACCTCACTCAACACCCCTACTTTCTGTAAAATATGTTTTTTAGATTAATGTGCTATAAGGTTTTGTCAGGGCCTCAAGAGGGAGGGAGTTTACCAAATGAGTATTTTTGTATTTGTGCTGGCACCTCCCAGGCTGGTGCTCTTTTTTGCCTTTGTTCATAAGTAAACAACTTTCCCTTGCTGAGGTAAGGTTTGGTTTCTTTGGTTTGAAGGCCGAGCCTCAGAATACTTGTGTGTCCACACCTGCTGCACTTTGTCTGATGATGCCTGCAAGGCGGGCCTGGTTTCTCAGCCTTTGCAGCTAAAACAATGGCTCACACTCAAGCCTCATTGCCTGGTAGTGCTTTTATTTTACCTGGTGGTTCTAATTTGGCTACAGGGCTAACCCTAATGGCTGGTTCTGAATTAGACGTAAATATATTTTAAATCATGTCTATAATACTTAATATAATACATTGAGAGCGATCTCTGTGGTAAAGCTTATAATAGTTTTTCAAAATAAAGTTTTGTGTATAGCTGTTACCTGAGAAGGACTTTAGAGTCTAAACATCTTTGTCTAAAGACTTAGAAAAACTCTCCTGCCCTTTCAGTCCAAAGAGTAAAATCTCCCTTGTGTAGAATTAATTTACTTGGAGGTGAATGTGCCAGTGTGTCCCCAATACTATGATTAATAAAATCTGCCTTGGACACTCTCGCGGCAATGCATTCTGTACATTTCAGTGTCATTGCATCTTATATGAAGAAGTAGCGGTTAAACAGCTACTTCAGGAGGTTAAGCACTTGCCCACATAGGTGGAAGCCCTTTGGCCTCTGAGAGCCAGCGTGCAGGCTACGTTTCAGTTTGCCTTCTGCCCTGCACAGTGCACCGTGTGCCAGGCCCAAACTACACAACCAAATGAGACAGCTCTGTGTATAATGGGGATTTGGGTCCAGATAGTAGTTTGGACCACATTTAGGGGCAACAAGCTTCACTTTTCCTTCTATCCCCCAAACACCTAGAAACTACTGTTGTCCACAACTAAGCTCTATGTACCCCCGACTCTCCTTCCCAACCTATACCTTCTATTCTGATTTGATTACATCTCTATGGCCCTATTGCCATTTATGTTTAATTATAGGCTTTCCACAAACTACATCAAGTCTTTGCAGAATGAAGTAGAGCACAAATACAAATATTCACATACATCCTGAAACCGGGCAGAGCAGCTGAATGTATTCAGAATGTATTTTTACTGAATTGTGTTGAATTCACTAACCTGACCTGTGTCTAAATCCCTAACTCTAAGGCAGATAACAATACCTCCAGATAACAATAACCCTTCTCAATAGGTTGGATTATTCTATCTTTGTTAGATCTCTAGTGTTGGTTTGCTCAAAAGTCACTGTATTTATTTTCATGACTTGCTCTGCAAAGGGTGGGGCGGCATGGACTTTTGGAAAGTTTTCGTGAGTCATATTGCTGAAGGCGGATTTGAGCTGGACTATTTATCCGAGGGTACAAGATGCTGTTATTTACAGCAGAGTGAGCCAAACATCAGTGAGAAACAGTCTGTTGACTGAAATACAGAACCAGGGGAAGGCAGGATGAGCACTGCTGGAAAAGTAAGAACATTTCTGTATCCTCATGATCTTGTTGTAATAATGTGGGGTTGATTTTTAGAACTTGAACACTTAAAAGTAATTATTTGGGATATTTCTTGAGGAATTAGATGCCTGGGAGGAGACACGGGGGGGGGGGGGCATATCAATGTGCCAATAAAAATGAGATAAAACAGTATATGGAAGGTTTCTTAATAAGACATTGGTGGAAAATGGAGAAATGGTTTATACTGTTTTTACTGTGGTTTATACTGTTTAAAGTGGTTTATACTGACAACATTAATAACTTAATTTTAGGAGAGTTAGGCATTTGCTCTTGTAAGCAAAATATTTCCATAAAGAGACTTTCCATAGTCTCATTTACATGCGGCATTCAGCTCTGTTTCAGTGGGAGACCAGGGCTCATTCCCAGATGTTAGGAAAGGTTTTCCTGCTGTTAATCATGGAAAAATGCTAATTCTGGAATGCAGAGTAGACATCAAAGTATCATGCTTTTAAGATTTGTTAAGGATATACTTTTAATCACAATATAAGTTTTTAAAAATCCTTATAAACAGGAATACATTATAGTAAAGTATATTTATTCTTTAAAAAAATGAATTGACAATAACTTTAGAAACAGCTTTGGCATTTTCTCATTTACAAATTGGTCAGTACAGTTCCTTGCTTTAAATCAGCGGTTCTCAACCTGTGGGTCGCGACCCCTTTGGGGGTCAAACTACCCTTTCACAGCAGTCGCCTAAGACCATCCTGCATATCAGATATTTACATTACGATTCATAACAGTAGCAAAATTACAGTTATGAAGTAGCAACGAAAATAATTTTATGGTTGGCGGTCACAACATGAAGAACTGTATTTAAAGGGCCAGAAGGTTGAGAACCACTGCTTTAAATGATAGATGATTGCTTATAGCATTAGGTGCTTTTCTTTGTTTTATTCATTTGATTGTTTTTGTTTAAGTAACTTTGCCTTTAGCCTGACTTAAGGCTCCAAAAAATGAAGATGTCTTTGAAGTCTGGGTAATGTGACAAGTGAGGAGGCCATATGCTGTTAGAATTAGAAATCATTGATCCTGGAATTGAATTGAAGTAGAATGAAAGCATTCTAATTTGGGTCAGTAACCCAACAAAAACTAAATTAATTGGGGAATTAATTTTGCACTATAGAAGCGAACGACTCTAATGAATTTTATGGTTCAAAGGTATCTTTACAATCTGTAACTCCATCCAACCAACAAATGCTCAAGTTCTAGTTATGCAGCCTCCATAAAATGGATACCTAGTCATTGTTAGAACATTTCCAATGCTGGAGAACTCAGTAGGCTTAAGGCAGCACTTCCTGATTATAATTAATAATACAGTGTATAATTTAAGATAATTTAGTAGAGAAGCTGTATAATTTTGAGATAGAGATAGTTATGTAATAGTGTGGTTTGCATAGGGGTTATATATATTCCAAGTTGCTCCAGTGTTTCAGTGTAGCTCATGAGAGCAAGGGCTCCCTTTACATTGGGGATTACTTTTCCCCTGGTTATCTATAATACTAAAAGCGTAATATGCTAATTAAACCTGATGGCCGAACAGCAGATGACCTTCCAGATGACCTTCCGGATGACCTTCCGGACGAAGCCCAAGCTGTGAGAGCCGAGGCAGCCACCATGGCTGCAAGGGCCAAGCCCCTTGCATGAACTTTGTGCATCGGGCCTCTAGTAATAAATGTTTAGTTTGCTCAGGCTGCCATAGCAAAGTACCACAGACTGGGTGGCTTACAAAGCAGAAATGTAGTTTCTCACAGTTCTGCAAACTAGAAGTCTGAGATCAAGGTGTCAGCAAGGTTGGTTTCCTCTGAGCCTCTCCCCTGGTCTTGTAAATGGCCATCTTCTTTCTGTTTTCCCATGGTCTTCTCTCTGCATATGTCTGTGTCCTTATACAGACACTGGTCCTATTGGATGAAGGCCCATTCCAATAACATTATTTAAACTTAATTACCTCTTAAAAAACTCTATTTCCAATTACAGAGACATTCTGAGGTACTTGGGGTCAGGACTTCAGCATATGAATGTTGGGTAACACAATCTGCCCATAGCAATAATCACCCTAGAGAACCAAGATAGTGGCATAGGTAAACACAGGTACTCACAGCCTCCCACAGCCACATCAAAATTACAACTAAAATACAGAATATCATTCAGAGCTGCCTGAAACCTGGCTGAATAGTAGTTCTACAACCAGAAAATTAAAGAAGAAAGCACATCTAGACTGATAGGAGAGGTGGAGGTGAGGAACAGGCTAGTCCAACACCCACGTGTGACTTTTTAATTGGGAGGAATATCTTGGCTGAGGAAGCCTTCCTTGAGGAGCAAGGGGTCCCAGCCCTACACCTTGCCCCAGCCCAGGGTTCCAGAGCTGGGAAGAGAAGTTCCCATAACTTTGGGCTGTAGAAACAAGCTGGGATTGTGGCTGATTAACAAGGAGGCTGTGGCAATCCCAGATTTTCTTTTAAAAGGGCCAGGAGCATGGATTTACTCTTATTCACTCCATCTGAGC